AAGATTGGATTTTTTTTTTTTTGGAGACTACTCTTCACTCTTTTGTTTTGTGTGGGAGTACTCCCGAGTGTTTGGAAAAAAAGAGAATGGAAGACTAAAATTAAAAAAATGGTTCGGCAAGAATTAAATCTGTTCGTTTTTGAACGAATTTTGCTCACACTCAAAAACGAGAAAGTACAGGGTGATATAAAAAAACTGCAACAAAGTCAAACACCAAAATTTTTACATTTTTTTTTTATTTTATTGAATGAAAGCCAAAAATGTCGGAAATAGCATCAAATTTTAGAATAGTTTAGATTTGTTCGAATTGGTCACCTTTAGCACGAATTATGGCCTTCAAACGGCATATGAAACCGTCACACGATTCCCGAATGTTTCTCTGGGGTATTTCCCGGCGAAGCTTTTGCTTGAGGTGATCGACACTTTGGTAGTGCTAACCTTGCTTTCCAAAATACTCCAGATACAATAGTCCAACGGATTGGTATCCGGAGATTTTGGTGGCCATTGTGCGCTGGAAATGAAGCGAAGAACCTCATTTTGTAACCATTCTTGGGTGGCGCGTGTTGAGTACGATTGTGCTGAGTCCTGTTGGAATGTCCACGATCTGCGGCCAAAATGTTTGCCTAAGGCTTTAATACATTCTCCAGAATATATTTGCTATAATATTCGGCATTTATTCTGATGCCACGGTCGATTAAAACGAGCGGAGAGCGACCTTCGGCTGTTTTGGCGGCCCACACCATCACCATGGCTGGCGCATGAGTTCTGGTGGCCAACCGAAGGAGCACATTTTCAGCTGATCTCTTTGGCAAAACACGATAATTTTGTTTGTTTACAAACTGCTGGACAACGAATGTTTTCTCATCGGAGAAAACCAAATTCGGTTGTTCATCACTTTCGGCCAAGCGAAACAACTCTTTAGCTCTTTTGAATATATTTTCTTTCTGTTGCGGTGTAAGTTCTTGCACTTTTTGGAATTTCAATGGCTTTACCCCGAGCTTATTTTTCAATATTTGCCGAATGTAATATTACGATATGTTCAGCTCACGAGCCATTTTTCGGCCACTGTGACGCGGGTTTCGATCAAGTCGCTTCTTTACTTTTCGAACTATTTCTGCTGATGTTGCTGTTTTGTTCCGTCCACTTTCTTGACGTCGGACTACGCTATCAGTTCACGGTAACTAGCGATGCTACGAGACATAAAAGATTTATTCACATTTAAATTCTGGAGTGCTCTAACGATAGTCACTTGTGGTTTTCCAGCCAAATATAAAAAAAAAAAAACTATCACGCTTGAATTCTATCACGAATAACTTTTTTTCCGGACAATTCTCACCAAAATACTTTTGTAGAATAATTTTAACAGCTGTCGGATGAGTGGCTAAGAAATGACAGCAGTCTGAAGTTGGTTGCAGTTTTTTCATCTCACCCTGTATGTCATCTGATATTCTATTGACATTGAAAAATTGAGTTTAAGATTGTTTTCTGATCCCATGAGCGCACTCCCTCAAATTCGAGTGAGTTTCGCTTTCACTCTATTTCTCTCTCTCTCCTGAGAACTCATAACTGTAGCAAAAAAGAAGAAATTGTTCGAGGTGAAGTAATTTTGGTACAGGTACAAACTGTTGACATAGACTAATGAAAATATAGGCAAAGAAATGCTCTCACCGTTTATCTTCGAAAATAATCGGTTCAGGTGATGTCGTCTATATCGTTTCAAATGTTTGAGTAGGAATATTGAAGTCACTCAATTCTAAAATCTTAAAAATAACAAAAAATCTAGGATATTTGTCAGTTGAAAATTCATATTAAAAAATAAGTGAAAACTACGTAATGACATCGAAAAATACGTCTTTAATCCAGTGAAATTCTTGAAAATCGATGAAATGTGTTTTCGAAATCGAATGGGTCGACTGCGTTTATCAGCATGTTGATTATGCAAAATATGCTGAGTGCCACCTGGATAAAAAGACAAAACTTACTTTTCGTTGCCTATGTATTCATTAGTCTATGCTGTTGATAAAAAAATGTCGAGGACCAAATACTGCAAAGTTAGGTCCACGTTTTCGTATAGCGCCCATATAATGGTACCTCCCGATAACCACATTTTGTAATGGAATACTTTCAAATTCAGTATTAGATTTCGTAATATGTTCTTAATCCTGTGGCAGAACATTGTCTATACATATTCACCATTTCACATATGCCGCATACAATAGTATCTCATCGTAGAGCTAAATAACACGAAATTGGACGATAAATCGTCAAACATGGAAACGTAATTATTGTCGGTTTAAATTTGAAAATAATATTTAAAGCATAATTTGTGGCTGATTTTAAATTCTTTTAGCATCCGCCTGAAGTTATGCATTAAATTAAATACATTCATTTTTTCATATCGTGAGAGATGCAATGACAATAAAACTGAGGGAAATATTGAAATGGAATGTTTTCTACAGAAATTTATTAATTAATCCAAATTTAATTGGAAATTAAATTATTGTAATAAGAAAAAAAATAATATAGTAAAAAACATATTGAAAAATAGAACAGTGTTGACTTGTTTGTTGGGGATACCATAATATTTTGTTGTATTTTGTACCTAGAATAATGAGGATTGGTGGCTCTTTCCTAAACCTAGGTATTCCCTACCTTACCCCCCGGTAAACATTACCATCGTTCTCCACTAATAAACAAACGTTGTTTTTATAAAACAAAAACAATAAAGGGGTTAAGCCGGACGATTTTGCAACAACAACATATTGAAAAATGTAAACTTTGTTTTGAACCGAATTCATCGACTCAAGACAATTACAGAAACAACCTCGTCTATTGAAGAATTACAAAGACGACACACGATGGTACAAAAACCAAAATTCCTTTTAGCCGTTTCGTCTGGGCCTTGATTCCCAGTCACTTATTTCACTACTGTTTTTACCATATCATTAAGCAATTGGTCAATTAAATCTTCCAATTTTGCACATTTAGGTACTCAAAATAATTAATATGGCAAAAATACCTTACGTTTCCTGTAACAAGATAGCCTTTTTCAAGTATTATATGGAGAAGCTATTAATGGGTTTCTATGACTAGAAGACCTTAAAAAGGTCTTGAAAGAGGTCACAGATGTCCTGAAAAGGTATTTTTACAGGACTTATATGTTCAGGTCCAGAACACCTTTTACAAGTTCTAGCCTAGAAGACTTGAAAAGGTCATCTGGAAACACAAGATCTGTAGAAGGCCTTCTTGTCACAGGGGACCTACAGGTTGAGATGAAAAACCTGCAACTAACTTCAGACTGCTGTCATTTCTAAGCCGTTCGTCCGACAGCTGTTAAAATAATTCCAATGACAGCTCATTATATTGTTTACAAGCGTACAAAAGCATTTTGATGAGAATTTTCCAGAAAAAAAGTTATTCGTGATGGAATTCAAGCGTGATAGTGTGATTTATTTATATTTGGATGGAAAACAACAACTGGCTATCGGTAGAGCACTCCAGCATTTCAAATGTGTCTCGTACCATCGCTCGTTACCGTAATACTGGTAGAGTAGCCCGACGTCAAGGAAGTGGACGGAATTAAACAGCAACATCAGCAGAAATGGTTCGAAAGGGAAAGAAGCGACTTGATCAAAACCCGCGTCTGAGTGGCCGAAAAATGGCTCGTGAGCTGAACCCATCGCAATATTCCATTCGGCAAATATTGAAAAATGAGTTCGGGGTAAAGCCATTTAAATTCCAAAAAGTGCAACAACTTTCACCGCAACAGAAAGAAAATAGACTTAAAAGATCTAAAGAGTTGCTTCGCTTAGCTGAAAGTGGTGAACTGCCGAATTTGGTTTCCCCGATGAGAAAAAATTCGTTGTCCAGCAGTTTGTAAACAAACAAAATAATCGTGTTTACTTGCCAAAGAGGTCAGCTAAAAATGTGTACCTTCGGATGGCCACCAGAACTCAAGCGCCGGACATGGTGATGGTGTGGGCCGCCGTAACAGCCGATGGCCGCTTTCTGCTCGTATTAATCGCCCGTGGCATCAGAATAAATGCCGAATATTATCACGAAAATATTCTTGAGGGTGTATTATAGTCTTGGGCACGCAAACATTTTGGCAACAGACCTTGGACATTCCAAAAGGACTCCGCACCATCGCACTCAGCACTCGCCACCCAAGAATGATTACAAAATGAGGTTCCTCGCTTCATTTTCAGCGCACAATGACCATCAAAATCTCCGCATACCAATGCGTTGGACTATTGTGTCTGGAGTATTTTGGAAAGCAAGGTTGACACTAAAAAATAGCAAAGTGTCGATCACCTCAAGCAAATGCTTCGCCGGGAATGGGCCAACATATCGCAGAGCAACTTTCGGGCATCGTGTGACGGTTTCATTGGCCGTTTGAAGGCCATAATTCGTGCCAAAGGTGACCAATTCAAAAAATCTAAACTTATTCTAAAATTTAATGCTATTTCCGACATTTTTAGCTTTCATTTAATAAAATTTGAAAAAAAAAAGTAGAAATTATGGCGTTTGGCTTTGTCGCAATTTTTTATCTCACCCTGTATTATTGAGCAATGGGTCAATAAAATGTTTCCATTGTGCACATTTAGATACCCAAAATAATTTAAATGGCTAAGAGGCCATTACTTTCGTTTTCTGTGCCAAAATAGCAGTTTTCAAGTCTTCTATGGAGAAGCTTTTAATAATTTATTTTAATGACTAGAAGATTTTAAAAAGGTCCTGAAAAAAGTCACTGAAAAATTTTTTTTACAGGTCTTCTATTTTCAGGTATTTTTGGCTAGAAGACCTTCTAAAAGTTCTAGGCGCAGAAGACATGAAGGAGTTTTTCTAGACTCAGAAAACCTGTAGAAGGCATTCTTTACACAGAGGAGCTGTAAAAGGCCTTCTACGAAATAAAAGGCCTGTAAAAATGCCTCAGGCCATAGAAGATCTGTAAGTAATAATTTTGTCTAAGAGATCTCTAAATAAAACGAGATTAAAAATATGTTTATTATTTAAATATTTTATTTATTTATACATTCACACAAAGGACATTGACTAGTTACAGAAATCGAAAAAGACATTTACATTATTTCAAAATAAATAAATAAATTATTACCAAGAACAAAATTGATGTGAGTTGCCAAATAAATAACAGTGAATAATTAATTGCTAATACAACAAACACTTAATTTTAAATTTAAAGACAAAAAAAATTAACTAGACATTTTACAAGTTGTTTTAGTTAATTATTTTTTTTTTTTTTGTTTTCCTCTGAATGTTTCGATGTCAATGTTGATTTTGTTTTCGTTTATTTATTTATTTTCTTTTTGTTATAAACTATTTGAGATACTCGGTTATGGGCGATGAATTAGAAATAAAATGCACACTTTTGTTGTAGTTTAATTTGTTTGACTCTTAAATTAATATTTTTTTTAAATTTAATAAAAGGAACTATACGACGACACAAATGAATGATCATGAACATATAAACATATTTTATTTAAATATATAAATATGAATATTTAGTCTTAAATTGTAGTAGGCATATTATTAAATAAATAGTTATTAATTATATCTTTGGTATATTTTATGTGGTTTTTTGATTTTTGTGATTAACATATTTAGAGAGAGATAGCGATAGTTAGAGAGCATAATGTCATAGTCAATCAAAGATTATCTACAAATGTAATTTTTAAAAATCGTTTTTATTTTTAATTGAAATATTTAAGCAATATTCCAGCAATGACAAGCATTGCATACAGCGATCCAGTCGATTCCAGTGAAGCCGAACCATTTCCTGAATCTTTGCGGAATTCATTTGTCACAATGATAACAGCGCGATCGTTGGTCTTTTGAATGACGCGATAATTATTGGCCAGTGTTTTTCCTCTTTCGCATTCCAATGACTTAAAGGCCTCGACCTGGAATAAAAAAAAACAATAATTGATTAATATTTATTTTCAGACCTCAAAAAAGTGATGATATACGAGATGTGTAAATAATTTTCTAGCTATAGAGGACCTTCAACGCATGGAAGAAATGTAAGATTATTTCTATATCCAGACCTGCAAAAGATCCTATGGGCATTGAAAGCCTGTGAAATTTCTTTTGTCCACATGAGTCCTGTAAACGGCATTCTACCCATATAAGACTTGTATAAGGGTTTCTAGCACAAAAGTTTTCTAGCCACAGAAGTCTTGAAAAAGGTTTTCTGGCCCTAGAAGACCTGGAAGAGGTTTTTTACCAACAGGCGACCTGAGAACTGACCTCCAGTCATAGAAGACCTGTATGTTTTTCTAGCCATAGAAGGAGGATCTAGCCACAGAAGTCTTGAAAGAGGTTTTCTGGCCCTAGAAGGCCTGAAAGAGGTTTTTTTACCCACAGACGACCTGAGAACTGACCTCCAGTCATAGAAGACTTGTGTACTTTTTCGGCCATAGAAGGATCTATAAAAGGACTTCCAACCGTAGAGATCCTATAAAAAGTATCCTAGCCATATACGACCTATATAAGAACTCTTAACCATAGAAGACCTGTAAAAAGACTGCTGGCCACAGAGGACCAGAAAAAGGACTCCTGTCAACAAAAGACCTGTAAAAGAAGTTCTTTGTAATGCCACAGAAAACTTAAAAGAGGGTATTTTAGCCTCTTAGGATCTGAAGAAGGTCTACTAGCCATAGAAGCCCTGTAAAAGGTCTCTTAGTTGTAAAATACTTTTATAGGGATTTTGGGCCCTTAAATATCTTTAAAAGATCTTCTAGCCACAGAAGACTTGCAAATGATTTTCTAGCCATAGAAGACATGAAACAGGTTTTTTTTAACCACAGACGGCCTGAGAACTGACTTAAAGCCATAGAAGACCTGTAAATAATTTTCCAGCAATGGAAGGATCTATAAAAGGTCTTCTAAGCTTAGAGGACCTATTAAAGTTCTTCTAGCCATATGCGACCTAGAGAACCTGTAAAAGCACTTCTTAGTTGTGAAATACTTGTATAAGGGCATTGGGCCCTCGCATATCTGAAAAAGATCTTTTAGCCCCAGAAGACTTAAAAATGGTTTTCTATCCATAGAAGACCTGAAAAGAGTTTATAATCACAGAAGGCCTGAGAATGGTCCTCAAGCCATAGAAGACCCATTAATACTTTTCCATCAATAGAAGGATCTATAAAAGGTCTTCTAGGCTTAGACGACCTATAAAAGGTCTTCTAGCCATATAGGACCTATATAGAGGACCTATAAAAGCGCTTTTGGTCACAGAGCACCTTTACAAGATCTCCTAGTCACAGAAGACCTGTAAAAGATGCTCTAAACTCTGAAGATTTGTAAAAGGTCTTGTAGGCGTAGGAGACCTGTAAAAAGCCTTCAGTCCATCTGCCGTAGAAAACCTATAAAACGTCTTTCCGCTACAGAAAACCTGGAAAATTCTTGAAAAGGGTCTTCTAGCCATAGAGTATTTGAAGAAGGTCTCCTAGCCATATGTAAGGGCATTGGGCCCTAGAATAGACTTAAAAATAGTTTTCTAGCCATACAAGGTCTGAAAAGAAGACCTGAGAACGATTCTCTAGTCATAGAAGACCTGTAAATACTTTTCCAGCAATAGAAGGATCTATAAACTGTCTTCTAGGCTTAGAGGGCCTATTAAAGTTCTTCTAGCCATATACGACCTATATAGAGGACCTGTAAAAGCACTTTTGGTCACAGAGCACCAGTACAAGATCTCCTAGTCACAGAAGATCTGTAAACGGTGTTCTAGACCCTGAGGATTTATGAAAAGCCTTTAAGTTGTGGAAAACCTGTATAAAGTCTCCTAACCGGAGAAAATCAATAAAACGTCTTCTAACTACAGAAAACCTGGAAAATTCTTCTAGTCATAAATTACTTGAATAAGGTCTTCCAGCCATATGGGATCTGAAGAAGGTATCTAAGCCTTTTAGTACCTGTTATAAGTCCTCTAGCTATAGAAAACTGTAAAAGGTATCCTAGCAATAAAAGAGCTGTAAAAATGTGCAGATTTGTATTCGGTCGTATTGATGACTTAAATACTACAGGGACCCCCACGTCAAAATTTCAGATTTCGAGATCTATCTCTTTTTTTAGCAATAAGCATAACTCTAGATATCTGAGAACACTTACATTTTGTAAGAAGAACTATAAACGAATTCGCAGAGGTGTAGGTCTAATAGTACAATATTTAGAACATTTCAGTACAGTGCAAATATTTCAGTAGTACAAATATCCGAAAACTTAAATTTATCCTATTGGTACATCTATACTACACCCCACATCATTTCAAATTTCAGAAATATAACTCTACCCAATACAAAAGGTACCTTTTAGTACCTTTTTAAACACGAATTTAAAAAAAAGAAGCCTATCCTTATCTCGCACCCCTACTCTAAGTTTGACCCTCACCCAAAATTTAAAGATTCTAGCTTCAAATAATTAATCCTAGCCCCCTTACCTGATCAATTCCAATGGGGAATGTTTCGGCCAAAACAATCCATGTAACCGCCTCATTACATCCAGGTGTGGTCAACGACCCCTCATAGGTAATGTAGCTTGGAATGGCTGGTACCAAATCACTGATTTTGAAATTTGTTTTAATTTTAATTGGATTATTTATCTGCTCGTAGCTCATAATAGGAACAAAATCGGACAGGATGTCATCCACCACGCGATTACGTTCCAACGAGGCATGATACAAGACGCCCACCACCACCAAACCGTCTTTATTCAAAGTGGCCACAGTCATATTTGGATACTTCTTGTTACGATGGACCATGTGCATTTCGAAAGGGTAGCGGACATTTTCAATGGTATGCTCCGACCACCAATGGAAATGGATTTGTTCCAAGACATATTCATCCTTCAGGGGACCTCCTTCCAATTCAATGTCCACATCAAAATCGGATAATTGGACTAAAAAAATTTACAGTTAGAAACTATTTATTTTTCATCCTTTAGTAGTTCAACTCACCTGAATGACCCGTATTCACCATCGATAGCTCTGTTATGCTCTTATCATGATTATCGCCTTCCAATTTCTCATACACACCCTTGATGGCACTTCTCAGACTCAAATTGATGGGCGATTGACGAGTACCGGTATCACAAGTTCCACCCCATTTTGGAAATTCTGCAAAAGATTGGGTGACACATTTGTTTAATAATTTTTTTTTTCTAAATAATAGCAAATGCACACATGTCTATAATTTTAGGAATGTGGAGGTATGTATGCCTACACACATATCTACATCCACATGGCATTTCTCTGAGGCAATTTAATAATTTAGCAAATATGTCAGATCGTTAGTTCTTATTAAAGTGGGCTACTTAATTTTAATACTCATATGTTGAATATTTCTGTGGCAGATAGTATGCACAGTGTTTCAAAACCAATGATTAGCACCGACAGACAGACACACGGATTCATAAACGAGCAGGTGGGACAGCATTAAAGCAGGGGTTTCAAATTTTGTGTAAATGAAACGTTAAAAGAAGGATGGAGAGAGAGGGAGGTAGAGAGAGGGAATTTTTTAGAAGTGACTATTTTATAGGCATAAAAAGTACTGGAAGATACTAAATGGTACGGCATTGTTGTGTAGCGATTACTTTGATCTAGAACGGTATTATTTTTTGTGTGAAGGGGTTCGAAAAGGCTGTAAATTCTTGAAAAGTACTTGAAAGTCACGAAAGGTACTAAACAGTACAAAATTGTTCGACATCGTTGTGGAGCATCCGGTAAAAGCGAAATATTCAGAATTCAAGTAGGAGACTCTTTGTGTTTGCATTTGTTAATGTATTCTTAAAGGTAACGAAAAGTACTACAAGGTACAAAATTGCACGCCAAATTCGTTCCAAATGGTGGAGGGTATTCAAGCTTACAGCTTTTTTACTTGTTTCTTTAGATCACTCACTCGGTTGTCACTCATTGTGGGGAGGGGGTGCAAAGAAACTAGTTTTCTAATAATCTGTTCTGAATGTAACGAAAAGTACTAAACTGGTACCTCTTAATGGGCTACTGTTAATGGGAGATTGGTGTATCTACCAATTGAATTTTTCATTAGATTCACTTTTTGCGTGAAGGGATTACATTTAAATTTAAATATTTTTTTTTTTTGCAATTCGTTTTTAAATATATCGAAAACTACAAAACGTACCAAATGGACGACATTATAATTGAGCGATTTGTAAGATTTGGACTGACATTTTTCATGAATAGGTGCGAATGGGCTAATTTTTGGTAATACAGGGTGATATAAAAAAAACTGCAACTAAGTTAAACGCCATAATTTTTACATTTTTGTTTTTAATTTTATTGAATGAGAGCAAAACATGTCGGAAATAGAATCAAATTTTAGAATAAGTTTAGATTTGTTCAAATTGGGTCTATTTTCTTTCTGTTGCGGTGCACGTTTTTGCACTTTTTGGAATTTCAATGGCTTTATCCTGAGCTCCTTTTTCAATATTTGTCGAATGGAATATTGCGATATGTTCAGCTCACGAGCCATTTTTCGGCCACTGCGACGCCGGTATCGATCAAGTCGCTTCTTTACTTTTCGAACCATTTCCGCTGTTGTTGTTGTTCTCTTCCGTCAACTTCCTTGACATCGGGCTACACTACAAGTATCACGGTAACGAGCGATGGTACGAGACACAAAAGATTTATTCACATTTAAATGCTGGAGTGCTCTAACGATAGCCCCTTGTGATTTTCCAGGCAAATATGAAGAAATGAAGGCTTGAATTCCATCGCGAATAACTTTTTTCTGGAAAATTCTCACCAAAATGCTTTTGTAAGCTTGTAAAAAATATAATGAGCTGTCAATGGAATAATTTTAACAGCTGTCGGACGAGTGGCTTAGAAATGACGGCAGTCTGAAGTTGGTTGCAGTTTTTTTCATTTCACCCTGTATAGCTATAGAGTGCATTGAACAACAATCAGACCTGATATGGATCTTCCTATCTCGCCGAGCTGAGTCAATCTAGTTATGTATGTCCGTCCGTCCGTCTGTCCATGTTAATTTGTAATCACTCTACAGATTGCAATTATAGCCCGATTCTCACGAAATTGAAAATGTAGGTGGGTTTTAGGTCGGAATAGAACACTATTTCTTTTGGAGATGATCGCATGATATTTGGGTTGAAATGGACCTAAAACTGAAAAATTTCCTGATTTTGCAATTGCTCTTCAGGTCTCAATTATAGACCAATTGAAGTCGAAGTTAGCATGGGGCTAGAGCTTAGGGCTGGACAGAAACCTTCCAATTTTGATGGTCATCGGGTAATATTTAGTGGGTGAAATAGACCATAACATTTGTGTTAAATAAAAGTCAAATTTTTCATTAAACCGCGAATATTTTTAATCCCGGCGAAATCACAAATAATCGAAGAAGTCAATTCTGCCCGTTACGTAGATGCTGATAGTAAAAATATAGGATATATAGCGAAATATATACAATGTGTATATTCAAAGGAAGGGGATGTTGGCTAGAATGCTTATATCTTAAGAATGGCTGGACCGATTTTGACAAATTTTGTCAATTCAGAATCCGCTCTTGGCATAGAAGAATAAAATCTAAAAAAATCGCATAAAAATGTCAATAATGATGATAAAATAGATTTTGTTGTATTTTGTGACATTTTTTTTTTTATTTTTTCATATTTTTTATCGCATGTGTTTTTTTCAATTTGACTTAAAATATTAAAGTGTATATTTTGTAATATTTTTTCACCTTACAACACAGGTTGGTGTTGTATACAGATTGCAATTATCGTCCCATCCTCACGAATATTTTCATAAGGGTAGTGTTTAACTCAGGGGAGTGGGGGTAAGGCTTCGAGAGCGGCAATGACAACAAAACTCCCCAGAGTTATTATGTGAGATGTGATGTGTAGGTGAGAGGTTTGGTGCGGGTGATTCGCGCGTGTGGTGTAGGATAAAAGAAAATAACGAGAAATAAAACAAAGATAAATCAGTATTAATTCTTAATATAATTTATGCTTTATTAGGTTTCTTTCTTTTCAAACGACAGAATTACCTCTTTTCAATTTGGTGTGTTGGCGACAGTGGCCGTGATGGGTTTCGCTTCAAAGACTAAAGACAAGTGAACGCAATGGTTCTGAGTGACCGCTGAGGGTCCCATGTCTGTCTACTAATACAACTACAACTACTTCCAATGAGAGCAAGGTGAGCCTACCGACAACAACCAATGCCCAGCGACGATCCGCTCACTACGGTCTCCGCCAGGGGAGTTGTAGAGGAGATGCCTGTGCGCCAATCAGCATCCGTGATTGATCGAGCATTGGAAAGTTGTGGTGGAACGTATCGAACTTATACAGGTAGGGTTAGGCTCAGAAAGGCAATATATTTAGAGGTTAAAATGGACCAACAACTAAGAATTTTGTTTTCGCAGCCATTATAAAGGTCACAAATAGAAACTTAAGGACACAAAATCACGCATGAAGTTATAGTTTGGGACAGCAAGTAGAATGGATCACTACTTTTGTTTGAAAAAAATGCCAATATTTCCATTCTACCGAAACGCTGAAAATAACTTAAAGTCAAAATCCAAACTACACAAGAGGCGAACTTTTTATAATGCTGATTTCGTTAACGAATATAGCCAAATATTGTAGACAAGCAAATCATATAGACGAGTCTAAATTTGGAGATACGGAGGCCCCTCCTGCATTTGGAGATAACCTCCAAATATTAAGGGGTCAAATGAACGAAAAATACAAACATTTTTCTGATCACGCAATTGAAATCAAGAAGAAGTCTATTCTTTTGGATGACCTTTGGAAAATATTTAGCTGTAAAATGGAACATAACAACTAACAGCAAGGCGGAATGCGTAAATATTGGTAAAATGTCCATGGTTAATATCTGTGCAGTGCTCTATGACACAATTTCAAAAGCGAAATCTTCTAACATAGTGTAGTGTTGTAGGATATCACATGGTCGGCCTCGCTCGACTGTAGCCTTTGCTTACTTGTTTTTATTATACCCTCCACCATGGGTAGGAGGGTATATTAACTTTGTCATTCCGTTTGTAACACCTCTAAATATTCGTCGTAGACCCCATAAAGTATATATATTCATAATCAGCATAAAATTCTAAGACGATTTAGCGATGTCCGTCTGTCTGTCCGTCTGTCTGTCTGTCCGTCTGTCTGTCTGTTGAAATCACGATAGAGCCCACATTATTTGACGTATACCTTTGAAATTTGGCACAAGTGTGTGTATTGTCCCTAGGATGGTTGGTATTGGAAATGGGATATATCGCTCCACGTTTTGGTATAGCCCCCATATAACGGTACCTCCCGATATTCGGCATTTTGATTATTTTTGCCACATTTTTCCACGGATTTGTCTAAAAATTGACCTCTGTAAGTCGTAATGGATTCTAGCTCCAGTGGGGTAACATTATATGTATAGGTCCACGTTTTCATGTAGCCCCCATATAACGGTACCTCCCGTTATTCGGTATTTTGATGATTTTAGCGACATTATTTAACGGAATCGTTCCAAATTTGGTGTTTGAAGTTCGTAATACATACTGCAGCATAAAAAAGAAAATGGGCCATGTAGGTCCACGTCTTGGTATAGCCCCCATATAACGGTACCCCCCGATATTCGGTATTTTGATAATTTTAGCGACATTATTTAACGGAATCGTTCCAAATTTGGTGCTTGAAGTTCGTAATACATACTGCAGCATAAAACAGAAAATGGGCCATGTAGGTCCCCGCCTTCGTATAGCCACCATATACCGTACCCCCCGATATTCGGTATTTTGATGATTTTAGCGGCATTATTTACCGGGATTGTTTTAAATTTCGCATGTGAAGTTCGTAATGGATACTTCAGCCCATCCCAGAAAATTGTCTGTGCAGGTCCACGTCATCGTATGGCCCCCATATAACGGTACCCCCTATATTCAGTATTTTGATGATTTTAGCTATATTTTAAACAGATTTTTCTTCAAGTTTCGCATTTAAATATTGTAATAACTTATGACAAAAGTTGACTATGCAGGTCCACGTCGTCGTATAGTCATTCGGCATTTTTAAGATTTTAACAGATTTTTTTTTTGAAAATTGCCAAATTTGTACCAAATGGTGGAGGGTATTAAAAGTTCGGCCCGGCCGAACTTACAGTTTTTTTACTTGTTTTTATTTTATTTATTTATTATTATTATTTTTTTTTACTAGATTAGTACTTAACATGAAGTATTCTCAAATTAATATCCGAATCACAACAATGTGTTTCCCATATTTCAGCAGATTCTTATAAAACTAGATCACTTGTACTCTTTCCATGTACATCATGTACATCTTTCCAATTTATATGACCCATTAAATGTCGACAACTATCATATTTTGCTCTAGTTATTGTTCTCCTACACAATTATCTTAAGTGGGATCGTATTTGGTTGTGGATTCCAAAGAAAAAAATCTTTTTCACAAAAAAAAACTTACCTTCATTTTCACTGTAATCTGGATAGCCCCAATGGGCACTGGTATCAGCATTGCTCAACGGCAGGCCACTTAAGCTAAGAAATGCTGAAAGACACAAAAAAAAAAAAAAACAGAGAAAATAAATTCTCATTAGAATACTGAAGTGAAATGATTTGATACAAGTTTATTTATTTTCCAGTGGCCGGTTCATGTCGCTACACGTCACGGCATAAATTAGTTGATGGCATTAACCATATTTTCAAAAAAAAAAAATAAAAATTAGGTGAATAAATTATTAAGTGTGTGGAGCCACAAGTGATCATTGTTGGTTTTTCTCGTTGTGTCATGTGTTAATCTTTCGAAAATTTTCAACACAAATTATCACACAATTTGTTTGGTTAAGACATACAAAAGTTGACTTTTTTGGGTTCCCTCCCAAGTGTTTAAGTTTGAAAAGCAAAAAAAATTAATGCCCGAATTCCACAACTGTCACTGGCAATTTTCTTGACACATATTTAGTTGCCTTTACTATTGCCATTTTTTATAGTTAATCTGTAAGGGGCAAAGATGGCAAACTAAAAAACGTGCCAAAATATTTCAATACGATTTTCAAAAATAAACTAAGACGACAAAAGTGTTAATCTGAAATACAAAAAAATCCTCATTCAACACATCTGGTTAATAGTTTTGTATTCGAATTTGTAATAGATCGCATTTAGTTTGAGAAACGAGCGAAATCAAAGTGTGTGCCATGTAATCAGCGTTTAATTAATGAACCAAATATGGTTAAAGCCATTCAATTAGCTGGAAATATATGTTTCCAAACGCTTTTGGTAGGAAACAATTTAATTGCACACTTGGGGCAAATTAGACATTTTTTTTAACAATTCAGATATTTCTTTGTTAGTTTAGCGAATTAGATTAGGTCTTATTTTTTGGCCGAGGAAGCTTTATAAAATGAATTAATAAATAGTAAAAATTTCCATTTCCTTATTGGAAGGAAAACCGAAAAGGTCAAGAAAATGCTGGAATAAACATTAATTTAGATCAGTTATAACACTAGAGTTTGTGTTCCGACAGATGTTTACCCTCAGCATTGTTTCTGTATCCCCTTTTTGTGGGAAGTACCAAAACCAGAGCACTGATTTGCTCTATTTTACTCGGGAGTGAAACTTTTCTCGATGAGTGAGAGATTTATACGGAGTTTACTCCTCTCTCTCTCCCTCTCTCTCTCTTTTGTGTGAGGGCGCTCTCAAGTCACTCTTGCTCGAAAAATTAGAGTGAGAGCCGAATCGCTTGAAATAGAGGTGAGTTTGCTCTAATATTGTTTGTAACAGCAAACCGATTTTGATGTTGTTCTGAACTCGGGGAGTGGGAGGTGATCGTGAACAAAATAAAAGAAAATAGTAGAAATCAAGGCCCTGTAGATTTTGTGTACATAAACAACTACGTTAAAATGTTTGATGCAGTGTTTTAGAAAAATAAACATTCATAGAAAAATTCACATACATAGAAAAAAAAACTTAAAATAGTGCTCGTAAAGAGCAGAATCTTCTCTTTTTTTATACCCTTCCACCTTGAAAAGGAGGGTATATTCCCGTTTGTAACATTCCTAAATATTTGTCGTTGGACCCATAGAGAGGGTATATATAATTTGATGCAGTCAAAACGTCCCTAGTAGAAATAACGGTTTTAGACCCTAGGTATCTTTGGACCAAATCCGTTTCAGGACATTTGGAGTCGATCTAGCGATATCCGTCCGTGCGTCTGGCTGTCTGACTGGCTGATGCGCACGATAACTCTCGAAGTGAGTATCCAATTTAATCAAAACTTGGTACATCGCAATATTTTTGTCAAACTTAGATCGAGTTCGGAAATGGACAATATCGATCCACTCCTTCTGGTACCTCCCATACAAAATGTCAATATTTTCAAAGAAAATAATTTACTGCACAAAAATAGAAAAGATATTTCGATTTAGCTCTAACTTTGCGAATCCTAATATTTGTATCAGTACTAGGTCAGGTGCGAATGGACAATATCGGTCCACTCCATCAAGTACCTCACCCACAAAGGGTCAACATTTTGAATAATTATAACTCTTATAAAACGTGATGTAGGGTCCGATTGTCTTTAAATTTCGCACATCATATATTTTTATTTTTATATTTTTATTAATCCAAGGTGTGGTGTTAAGATCCGCTCCTTCTGGTACCTCCCACACAAAAGATCCAAATTGTCAAAAAATATATTTTCTGCAAAGAAAAAGAAACGATAATCCGATTTTGCTCCATCTTTGCAAATCCTTATATTTTCATCAGTGCTATATCAGGTGCAAAAATGGACAAAATCGGTCCACTCCATCAAGCACTTCCCCCACAAAGGGTCAACATTTCCAATATTTACGATAATTACTCTTAAAAAAGGTGATGTAAGAGTCCGATTGTCATCAAATGTCACACACAAGGTCTGGTGTTAAAATGGAATACATCGGTCTATTCCTTTTGGTACCTCTCCCACAAAAGGTCGAAATTTTCACAAAAAAATTTGATTTTGCTTCAACTTTGCAAATCCTAATAAATGCATCAGTTCTAGGTCAGGTGTAGAAATTGATAATTTCGGTCCACTCCTTCTGGTAACTCCCCCACAAAAGTTCGACAATTTGAATATTCATTAAGCTCATAAAATGCGAAGTAAACATCCAATTCATTTAGAATTGGCGCTAGAGATCGAACCATTCCTTCTGCTACCCCCTCCACATAGGATCAAAGTTTTGAATAATCCAAAAGAATATGAAATCCGAAATAAGCATCCCGTTCTCTTCATATTTCACACATCCCATTATTTTTGCTAACACAAGACTAGTTGTGAAGATAGAACCTCCCCCACAAAAGGTTCAACATTTCCAATATCCAAGAAGCTCATAAAACGTGAAATGTGCGTCCAAATCCCTTCAGACTTCGCACATCTCCACATTTCCATCTGTTATAAAGATGGAAGAGATGAGATCATTCCTTCTGGTACTTCCCCCACAAAGGGTCAACGTTTTGAATAACCAAAAGGATACGAAATAGGTATGTGGTTCTCTTAATTTTTCACACATCGCATTATTTACACTAACTCAAGATCTGCTGTGAAGATGAGATTTATCGGTGCACTCCTTCTGGTACCTCCCCGATAAGGGTCAAAATTTTAAATATCAATGAAGGTAATAAAACATCCGATTCCTTTCAGACTTGGCACATCTCAATATTTGTATCAATACAAGATCTTTATAGATTATAGAGATCGGACCTTTTTTTCACATTGGCTCCACATTGGCTGAGGATATACATCTGTCGGCAAAAGCGACTTACACTTTTTAACTTGTTACCGTAAATATTTAGCAGATTATGAAAGTAGAGCTTGAAATAGGCGAAGCGTGTAACGGCGTTTTGTAAGTTTACATCGGAAACCAATCTAAATATAGGGGACAAGTTTCCCCCCACTTCCGCAATTTTGACATTTTCCGATTACGATTTATTTGAATCTGCTTATTTTAGGCATATAGTGTCTTTGGTAATGTTACAGACAAATATACGAGGAATATTTTGGTCGAAAAATTCAACTCTCAGAAGAGTCACCAAAGGTGTCGTTTTGGCCACATTTTCAAAAAATCTCTAAACCTTCCTTAAAATGAGATCGTAGCAGTTCAAAATTGTATAAAAATAGGTTTTTGATAAAATTTTACTGTAGGTCCTAGAATACAACAAAAGCCTAATTATACCCTACACCACAAGGTGGTCAGAATATTATGTCTTTGTGCATTTGTTTGTAACAGGCAGAAGGAAACGAGATAGTCCCATAGTTCCTTTTGATGATCTGCATAGAATCACATTCTGAGTCGATTTATGCATGTCCGTCCGTCTGTCCGTCCGTCTGTGCATGTATTTTTGTAAACAAAGTACAGTTCGCATTTATTGTCCTATCCAGATGAAATTTTGCACAAATCATTTGTTTGGCCCTATTGAAATTGGAGATAATCGGTCAAAAATTAGATATAGCTCCCATATATATCTTCGTCCGATTTGCTTTTTATTGTGCACCAATCGTGTAATATCAGTCCGAATAGTATGGAATTTTGCACGTACGATCAGATTGGACCTGAAAATAAGTATGCCAAATTTGATCGAAATCGGTTCAGATATAGCTATAGCTCCCATATATATTGTTCATCCGATTTGTTATTTTTGTCCTCCGCAGCCGTAATATGCCCTTTGTAACAACAATATTTTGGGAAATATATCAAATACTACTCAGAAATACTTTTGCTAAATTTTATCGAGATCGGTTCAGATTTGGATATAGCTCCCATATATAACTTCGTCCGATTTACCTTTGATTGTGCACCAAACGTCTAATATTTGTCCAAATGGGATGGAATTTGGCACATGCGACCGAATTGAGTCTAGAAGCTAGTATGTCAAATTTGGTGAAGATCGGTTCAGATAGCTCCCATATATATTGTTCATCCGATTTGCTATTTGTTACCCACAGCCGTAATATGCACTCCGTAACAACGATATTCAGGGAAATATATGAAATACAGCTCAGAAATATCTTTGCCAAAATTTCTCAAGATCGGTTTAGATTTGGATATACCTCCCATATATATCAAATGGGCAATACAAGTCCGAATTTAAAAGATTCAAATACTTCGGCATATTTAGTCCTTTGAAATTTAAATTATAATTATCATATCATAGCGTGTATAATTGAATTCTCCCATAAAAACTTTTAATTGTTATGTGAAGCACTACGAAATTAGCAAAGTAGTGTAGGGTATCATAAAGTCGGCCCCGCCCGACTTTTAGATTTTCTTTACTGTTTTTTTATTTATTTATTTTATTTTTTTTTTTTTTTGCACATTGTTATTGTGTTAATCATTATCCATATATGTCTACACTTTTGTATGTAGGGTCTCGTTGGATAACACTCTCCTATTAAAACTCTGTAAAATTTGTGTATTTATTTAATAACCCTTTACCAATCTACCCCGCCAATAGCCCATTTTCCATCATCCAAAAATAAAACAAAACAAAAAAATGTCTTATCTCTCTTTTTTT